TAAAAATTATATCAGGATTCCAGATTGTTTTACATTCTGCACTCGCAGTTATATTAGCAATCGACACACTGCTACTGTTTCCCATTTGATTTCCTTTGTGTTGAAAATATATATTGTTATCATATTCTATAAAACTATAATCCAAACTTAAAGAAAGTAATTGCTTAACTTGCGTATTTGAGAATTTAGTGTGTAAATTGGACTTGCAATTACTAAATTGTTCTATACAATGGTGTTTACATATGTATATAGGGAGCTCAGTATACATAGATTGTATATCTGCTACCACTAAACTGTATTTTTTATTTGGATCAAGTTTAACATTGCTTAATAGATACAAAAAATGATTGCTGTCAAGTACTACATCCGGCAACAAAGTTATTAATGGCTTTAATACTGAATCAAGTAACATGCTGATACCTTGATTAATAGAGCATTTCGTACTGGATATTGGTCTACCTACCGGAAAGTGTTCAAATTTTTTATGTACCTTTGGCAATATATAAAATTTACATGGACTAAAGTTATCTTTACAAAATGATTGTAAATTAATATCTTTAAAATAGGTTTTGTTATAATAATTCAACTTATCGTTATATTCTGACATTTTCAAATTATATTCAGTTCTTGTAGATGGTCGGTAAATTTGCTCGTCATTTAATTGGCGGAAAATTTCACGAGAGTAATCAATTCTACGCATTAGACAAATTCCCGCATTCTTGTCTGCTTGTTTAACTATAAGATCATTTTCAACTAAGAAATTAAAGTATTTGGTGAGTAAAATTTCATGCACTTTATTTATATGTGGTTTATTTTTAAGTAAAGCTGATATTAAGACTTTATTTGAGCGGAAATTATTTTGGAATATTTCGAATTCTAAATCTGAGTGGTAACCCTTGTTCAAATTATTGGATTTTCGAAATTTTATTTTTATTCTGTCTAAATCTGTTAAATTTTGAATCATTTGGGTTTTGCATGAAATATATTTTCCATGCAATTTTACGTCTGGCCTCATTAATACATTCAATTATATTATTTATATGTAATCGCTTGCTAAAATTAAATTTTAAGCCAAGTCATATAATTGCCTGTACGTTCGTGGGTATTTTTACATTTGGAATAAGATTATGTATGCAATTTTTAGATTGTCTTAGCACGTTGTAAATATCAAATAATTCTGTTGTTTCACTTCTGGATAATTGTTGTGTGATATCAAAGACTTTTTTTACGTTAATAAATCTCCTATTTTTACTTTGGTAATTATTGGTAGTGGTACCTTGTCAACTCAAAAAATTAAAAGCTTCGTGTCTTGGGATAGGTTGAGCATGTAAATTATTATTTGATTGAATGTTTTGCTGTTTATCGTTTAAAATTGGCGTATTAAATGTGCTACTTCGTTTATTAGCAGTCTGATTATTCTGCCTACGAGAAAATTGTGAGTTACTGTGACTATGACGAGAATGAGAATGTATCGGATTGGTATTTGTATTTGTATTTGGTCGTTTCACTTTTTTATAAAGTCTGTTATTGTTTACCATACTAGCTTGTGATTTATCGGACTTTAGAAAAAGCATTAAATCATTTTTTGTCGTAATTCCTGTGATTTCTTCGTTATCCTTTACAATTTGTTCGCATACTTTAGTTACATACTTATTGATTGTCGTACTGCGTGGTTCAAAAGGATTTGTTTTCGCCAAAATGTTAAAATGTTAAAATGTGACAGTTTTACATCGCCAGGACTCAGATTTCTCTGCTTTTCAGCCTCAGATGGCGACTTCTTGCCATAATTTCGTAGCAAGTTGTCTCATCCCCACAGAGAACGGACTCTGCTAGGGGCTGTACACAGTGACATTGCCATTCCATATGGCTGGGCTCACCCTGTCACGAGACAGCACCTACCCCGTACTAACACCGAGCCGAGTAGGATTAGCAATAGCTTCCCGGCCAGAGGAATCGAACGTGTGACTGCGTGGTGACAATCCTACCCTCGTACCTCTGAGCCATAGGGCCTTGCTTAGTAACTAGGTAAAGTAGGTGTAACTTTTGACGTGCGTTTACTCCAATCAATTTTCTTTACATTAAATGATTTTAGAAATTCTATTTTAGCTTTGGTATATAAAGTACTGAAGTGATATAAAAGTGATTCCTTTTGATCTTCAGTTTTGACTAATCGCTTGATTTCTGCAAAGATTCTATCTATAATTTATAAAAGTCTTAATTCTATTGCAAATTTAGATCCTATCAAACTTTCATCTTGATATTTGATTGCAAAAGCTTCTTTAAGTTTATGAAAATTGTCTAAACTGTCTTACTCCCTAAAGATACTTTAGGGAGTAATTGAAATTGGGGTATATTAAAATTAACTTTAGGGTTAAAAAGGGCCACGGAATTATCAGTCGCTCCCTGTACATTGTGACTAAAATAAATAGATTGAAAAAAGAAACAAAAATCGTTCAGACAATCAATTTTGGTTACTTGAGTTAAACCACAAAAACCTTTAAGTGAAAGGCATTCGGCCATAAAATCTGGATCTGGAGGAATTGGCAAGATAATATTTTTACATAATTTATCTACGTATTCGGAAACCAGTGGATCATTATCATACGATTCTAGAAAATTTTTAATACAAGTTTTTGATTCTGGATCGTGTAAACTAACCTTTTCTTTTAATTCAAACTTGAGTTTTTTTTTAAGTTGACTCTGCTGATTCGTTGTTGCTTCTCTTCTGTCTTTTAGTTTGTTGTGAAAAACTTTCTCCCATGGCGAGTAGTTCTGCATTTTCTTCCTCATTGAGGAAAAGTTCCCGTTGTCCATTTTGTAACAAATCGGTATTTATAACGGTATTTATGACGGTATTTATAATTATTTATTAGCTCACCCTGCGTAGCATGAGAGCTATTGAATTCCTCTTGTCCGTCTGTCTGTCTGTCTGTCTGTCCGTCTGTTAACGAGTTTTTTGCATCAATTGATGCTATTTAAAAATCCCCTTGACCATTATTGCATATGTTAGGCGCACCATTGGTATTGAACAAACCGAATCGAATTTTTTTATAAATTAATAGCACCCTTGATATCTAACAATCGGTAACACAAAATGATGCGAAATAATTGGGAGAAGAGATGCAAAACGCACCAATAGTGCAAAATTTCCGGGAGAAATGGTCATACAATTTTGACAAAGTTTGCAAAATTATGTATCCCGGATGGTCGCCAATGCTGCAGTAATGGTGCAACGGCTAGCCGTTTTTGTTGCACCATGGGTGCAAGAATATATGCGAGTTATGATCTATTTTGCCGGCTTATTCCCCACCTTCGGTGCAAAGTTTTGTCTAATCATCATGTCAGGGTGAGCTACTTCTAACGTTACTACGGTTTATTATATTTACTTATTTTTTTAAGATTAAAATTCACCCCGTCCATTTCCACCCGACCCTCATATTTTTTCCAGCACCACCGCTTTCACCACTAACAATGCGATGACGCCAGCAGTCTCGTTCCGATTTTGACGAAACTACGATAATTAGGTTAGATAAGTACTTAAACACGTGTTCCAGGATTTTTCATAATGCTCAGTTTAAACGAAATTATGACGAAATCTGTGAGCGAGAATTCCCATTTTCACCGTGACATTTTTCTACCGAGGAAAATACAGATAAAATACAGGAAAAATACAGATTCTCGCTGCCTGGCTTACGAATTCCATTATTCGTTTAAACTGAAAATGTGAGGGCACGAAGTAGTTTTCTCGGATTTTGACCGGACCAATTTTATATTGTACACACCTGGAAATAATTGGCCTTGAATTTTTGCATTTTCCCGAATGCGCGCATTTTCGGTTGTGGCACAATTTTGGAATACAATTTCAGCCAAAATCAGGATTTTTCAAAATGCTACTACTTTTTCAATTTTTACGCGAATTTAAAAAATAAAAGGACATTTTTGCACAGAATTACATTGCGTAATTTTAGAAAAAGCCATGTTTCAGAAACTTTAGATTTTTCAAAATCTGTGGCTTGTTGCATTTTTCAAAAATTTCAAAATTTTTCAAAATTTCAAAATTTTTCAAAATTTCAAAATTTTTCAAAATTTCAAAATTTTTCAAAATTTCAAAATTTTTCAAAATTTCAAAATTTTTCAAAATTTCATAATTTGTGCCAGCAATTTAAAATCGAAAAAATCTCTTCATGCACACACATTGTAAGCTTAAACGAAATTATGGCGGAATTCGTAAGCGAGAATCTGTATTTTTCTACCTGGCTACAAAAATCTCACGGTAACAATGGAAATCCTCTCTTACGAATTCCATCGTAATTTTGTTTAAACTGAGCATTATGAAAAATCCTGAAACACGTGTTTAATTATTTACCTAAGGCTACATAATTATCGTCGTTTCGTTAAAATCGGAGCGAGACCGCTGGGGTCATCGCATTGTAAGATGTAGTGTACTAAGTTGCTTCAGGCTACTTTATGCGAAGACTTTGTCCGTCTGTGCGTCTGCTTGTCTGTCTGTCCGTTAGCAGGATAACGGAAGACGGTTCGAGTTGATCGAATCGGTTTTGGCCATCATACATATGACCATAGGGGAGGATCCTATAAACTTTTGGGGCATCCGCACCACACCCCTTGGTGCCAGGGGGTGTGGTCGGGGCAATTTGAAATTGTTTCCGAAATTGAAGCTATATGTAGATGAAATGCAGCGAAATTAATGGTTCCTGCCCTGTCTTTGAGTTGGTAGGGGTGAAATGGCATAACGCCAAATCGATGGTCGCGGTGAAATGAGATACTGCAAAAGCGATGATTGGGGTGAAATGAGAAAAAGCACAATCGATGGCTGGGGTAAAGTTAAATATTTGTGTAAATTACGACACGAAAAAAATTAACCGGTAAATTCTCCTCAAATAAGTCGCTTAAGCTACTTCCGTATATGCGTTTGATGCGGTTTATTAGAAATTAGTAACAAACCATATTCCTAACTCATCCACACCTCCTATTATTTACAGATCCCTAAGCGTGAATTTGAAAAATGGGAGCCTCAACTTCCATCCATCTTCAAAACACGACCCCATTCCCTGTCAACCTTTCCGGGATTTTTACCGGGATCGGGAACGGCGGTCCAAAATACCATCTAAAACCGGACTCATCCCTTGCCATCCCTCTCGATGAGGTCCAACATTATGGGAAATTCATCCTTGAATTACGATCCGACCAAGGGGCTATCCTCAAAAGCGTCATCTTCCCGATAAAACATTACTCCCGATGGTCCATCAATTTTGACGGGATTGGCGAATGTGTCTGGACCAAGGGCAACTGGAGTGTAAATTATTACGTCCCATTCTACCAATGGAACAAGGATTACGACCACACCTTCATTATCGACCGGATGAAAATGTATCAACCAATCAGTTACGATATCCACCCAAAATCCGCTACTGCACCAATTCCAACAATATCCTTATCCGATTTAAGCGAAAAGATTGAAAAACACCTAAAAGACGTAGTTGATGACGATGAGAAATGGGCAACCGAACTGATATCCGAAATGGAGGCGGCGTTTTTACAAAATCACCAAAAATTTGCCGATGCTTTCTCTTCGGATAAAAATTGCTACAAAGTTCTCCATGTTCTTGGATCATTTGCGTCCGAGCAGTATGGCACGACGGAGTCTGACTTTGTCTGTTGTATGATTTTTAATGAGATCATGCTCATTTACGACGCCATGAAGGGGCAGACTTTTAAAAATTTTAAAGCTGATGATGCAAAAGTGAAGGAGGGTCAAGAGAAAGTGTTGACGCAGTAAGTATGTAGAAAAATTCAGGTGTGAAATCTAAAATTGATGTGAGACTGAAGGATACATTTGTGAAAATTTATCAAATTTTGAAAAAAAATGAAATTGGTCATAGTTAGAAGTTATGTTCACAAGAAAATTATTTCTAACAATTTAACTTTTAATTGATAATTAAAATTTGGCGAATCCTACTATCAGTCTCCTAGTTGAGTGTGCAGTATGGTGCATTTCCGTTATTGCAAGATATGAATTTGTTATATTAATAAATTCAAATCGATAAACATTTCTGATTAAATTTTATAGATTCAAAGAACTCGTCTCTAAGCCAACATTTCTTGAAAATGCGGCCGACTACTACTCCACCCAGCCAGAAGTTAATCAAGCTCTGGTTCAAGTCCTTTTTGACAATTGTGACTTCCCCAAGACAGAATCAAGCATTGGCCTTCACCTCTACTTCATACAAGAAAATGACAAACGGAAGCCCCTCTACAACAGGGAAAAGGATTCCAAATTGTTTTTGGAGTTGTGTGGGAAACTTTTAAAAATCGACGTATCCGCCAAGGAGGTCAGCCAACGGGAACGAGAACTGATTTTGTGCTTGTTGACAGCCATAGTGGTAAAGGACGTGAAAACAAGCGATCTGAATAATTATATTGAAAAAATGGTTAAAATTCAGGTAAACAAAGTAGTAAGCTTTGGAAAAATAATTAAATTTTGCTTCCAACGCTCAATTTTGAATCCATACTTTCCGATTACTTTTATATAAATACTTTCTGTTTTACCATTTGTTTTCACATCGGCTAATTTTAACTCCAAACGAAAAGGGAAAATATTTCTCATTGCAATCCCTATGGTTTCACTTTCCAGTTTGAGGGGTTTTAACTCCATTTTACCTTCCATTTTACCATTACTTTCACGCAACTTTGAGAGTTGAATCAAATCCAACTTTTGCGGAAAAGTGAAAGTGAAAACAAAGAGAAAGTATTTATTTTCACCATGAACTTAAAGTATGAAATGTGAAAGCAATCGGGACTAAAAGAAAGTAGACTGGAAGTGAAAATTCATGGAATGGAGTCAAAACTGACCGTTACTTACTGTACATATTTAAATATTGTAGGAATAATTTAATCACCTTATACATAATAATTAACTCCTGCTCCATTTTTCTCATAAGAAACAAAATCAATATTTTTCAACAATATTTTGAAATTTTAACACAGGCCCGCGAAGGAAAAGCTGCCGACGGTTCTAATGAAGAAGATCGAAACTACCACCAAGAAAAAGGTAGTCTCGCCCTCCTGGTAATTGCTGCCTTAGAACAATCCATCTACAACAGTAAGGATCTGCACATCCCAATCGACTGTATCGGATATATGAGCGAATATCCAGAACAATTCCTAGCCGGCGAAATGCTCACGTATTCCTTAGAAGTTCTGGGCACCAGCACAGAAAAGGATACCGTATATTGTGCCAAAATATGCACGGCATTCGCCGCAGCGAAGAATAAGACGATGATTTTTGAAAATGAGAAGACCATGCTGACATTTAGCACCTTATTTGAGAAGAAAGTACACCCCGCAGATACTCTTTACAGCCATTTGATTATGGCCGTACAAAATGCGACAGCATCTCTAAAATTGACGAAGAATCACGTCCCAAAATTGGTGGATTGTTTGACAACTGTTTTACGCGAGGAGAAAGCAGAGACTCTTTCCTACACTGTGAATACGCTGCAATTAATTAAGGCGTGTTGCACGTCGGACAAGAATTTTGTGGAGGTTGCCGGAATGAAAGATTTTTCCAAGGGGGTGATTGCACAACTAAAAACTTATTTGGAAAGCAAGCAAAAGGATGGAATTGACAAGGAAGTGTGGACTGAGTTTTTCAGCGGTTTCAGCGCCGTGATTGCTTTGAAAGGGGAGAAAGTTCATGTTGATACGATTAAGATAATCCTTGAAATGGAGAAAGGTGTCAAACCGGAGGTGAAAGATGGAAGGAAGTTTGCCTTGGAGACGGTCGAGAAGGCCTTGGGCCATATGGATGGAGATGATAAGGATGCGCAGGTATGGATATGGAAGAGCTTAAAAAATTGGTGGCATTAATGAATTTAATGCATAATACAAGCGTATAAGCCCGTCACCCGCTGGGCATGAATTGTAGGCTGGAAATGTCTGTTGACAACGGAAAGCAAACGTTCCGCGATGGAAGTGAAAGTACAGAAAATCATGTTTTAATATTTAACAGATTCTGAATATTCTAAATATTGTGAACATTTATTCATATTTGATGGTGTTTATTACCGAAAACAGTTAAGGTCCCGATAAAGACCACAAGAATTTATTTGTGGGCCGTGTCTGGGGCACAGTAGCCCGCAAGTATGGCCTATGTACCGATTTGACATCAGGGATAATGCTCCGGAGTTGATAGCCTTATTTGACCCATAGTTGGGGAAAAGCTGGGCCATACTTTTCCCCGAGATCATATGAATCAGGCACAGAACTGGCCCAAGTCTGGGACGCATGGTCATTTTCATGGTTATCCCTAATATGGGCCACTTCTATCTACTACTAAGGTGCCATACTTAAGCCATAAATTTCCCACAGGTATGCACAATATGTACCATACTTTTATACTTATTAGCTCACCCTGCGTAGCATGAGAGCTATTGAATTCCTCTTGTCCGTCTGTCTGTCTGTCTGTCTGTCCGTCTGTTAACGAGTTTTTTGCATCAATTGATGCTATTTAAAAATCCCCTTGACCATTATTGCATAAGTTAGGCGCACCATTGGTATTGGACAAACCGAATCGAATTTTTTATAAATTAATAGCACCCTTGATATCTAACAATCGGTAACACAAAATGGTGCGAAATAATTGGGAGAAGAGATGCAAAACGCACCAATAGTGCAAAATTTCCGGGAGAAATGGTCATACAATTTTGACAAAGTTTGCAAAATTATGTATCCCGGATGGTCGCCAATGCTGCAGTAATGGTGCAACGGCTAGCCGTTTTTGTTGCACCATGGGTGCAAGAATATATGCGAGTTATGATCTATTTTGCCGGCTTATTCCCCACCTTCGGTGCAAAGTTTTGTCTAATCATCATGTCAGGGTGAGCTACTTCTAACGTTACTACGGTTTATTTTTATTGCACCTCGTTAATTTCAAATATACATAATTAGTATTATTTCTAGCTACATACTAAATTACAGCAAAGTCATACATACATACTCATTAACAGATATGGTTGGAATTATATAACATTTTTGTAAAATATCTAAAACTTTCACTGTCAGATTGAGATTCGCTAATATGGCTAGCATCACTGTCGCTAGCAGAGTTACTATCATAATCTAAATTATTTGTAATGTTAGAGCTCCTATCGTCATTGGGCTGATTATCACAATTATTTAAAGTTGGACTACTAATATTACTTAAAATTGTAGAATTTCTGTTATTATTAATGCTATGTAAAATATTATCAACCACTGCTTTCCTTTTCCTATACTTCGTTGACCTTGATGCGTCTATTCTTATGGAGCAGGGGTCTGGGGGTTACTTGGGTCAAGTAGGATGGTTGTTACACTGTTCTTATTCTTCCTGCGCTCTTCTCTTCCCCCATTCCTGTCCTTGGCCCCATTAAACCATTTCTCGATTATTTTTTCGACATCGAATTTGGTTTTCCCATGGCATTTTGGATTTTTTAGTATCGCATCTGTAAAACCAATACATACATACAAGCTAACAGAAGAGTGAATAATTGATTATAATTTATAAGATCCCCATAAAATTTACATGCCAATGATGATGGAGGAACATTTCCACTTCATAAAACTAAACTTATTCCCATCCCCCTTTCCAGTTTTTGACGTTTTAAGGGCTATTGAATGACTGAACACATGACTCAAAATCCTAACTGTAGTTTCATTCACATCAAGGCCTCCGATTTTCACCAAGTCGACCAGCTATTGAAACATTGATTATAACTTTAATTTCGTATATGACAATTGTAATGGTGACTCTCGTATAATTTTTACCAATATATTTCCTGACTTCGGATCGCCCAACCACTGCTCGAACTGATCCACATCTTCATCAGTTAAAAGTGGGAATGCAAAGGAAGGGGCTTCGTCCTCAATATTTTTGGCAGCAAGAAGGGTGCCAACTTTGATGGACAAGAGATTTACTTCAGTCTTCAAACCCTCCAAATAATGCAACACTCTTTCTCTGAAAACTAAAAGTAGTGATTAGAACTTGTAAATTAATTGCAAATTACTAATGTGCATTACTGTTATCAGACTCTGATGGAACTGTCTGAATAACAAACGGAGTAACTTCTGAGATAGAACCATGGGCAGAGGGATCCTCTTCTATTGTCGAATTTGTAATAGGAGTAAGAGCTGAACTAGATGACGAGGATGGAATCGCTTCGCCAGACAATAAATTGAATTCTATGAAAATATACTTAATTATTAAAAACAATAACACACTGAAAAATTTACCAGTTGAGTTCTTACCCAATATTGGTGCTTTAAAGGGTAAATTATTGGTTTCAACTGGATTCTTCGAATGAATTTTATTTCTCCTGGAATTCAAATTCTCCGAGTCACTGGAGCTTGATTGAGTTTCGCCAGAACTCAAAACTCTTGCTTCGTCCACATTCAAATTGGCTCTCTTGTAGTCATCTATAAATATGGACAAATAGAATAATGTCTTCTCATATTACAATGTATGTAATTACTTGTAAAAATGATTTACTTCCAAAGGATCGAAAAATCTTCACTTCCAACTTTTTCCAAGTTGACTTGGGCTTGCTTTCTGAGTCCTGGATCAATTCCAAAAGCTTGACTCCCTTTGGCCAAGAGCACATTTGCTTGTCGTCATCTTAAGATAACCAAGTTGAGGGGACAGCAGCGAAAGATTTTTCCTCTAAAAACTCTACGACTGAAAACTTCGACGAAAAGTGTGGTGAAGACATCTTGCTGCCCGACGACAACGTGAAAAAACTAGCACTAATTTGTTAATCAAAGTCCCACCAAAATGATTGGGGCCAGCAAGTAGCCAGAGGAACGTGGGCCAACGATGGTTTGGATCATCTGGGCCAAAGCAGGATTTCCCGGACTGTGCCAGACTTGGGGCAAATTTACTACGTCCCATTTCTGGGCCGCATTTACAATTTCATTTTCGGGAAATTTGGTAAATATTTTGTATGGCCCGTATGTGTGTATGCATAATAAAACCAAACTTGGGATTTCAACTACGGGCCAATCGTGGTCCACAGTGAACATTCGGCATACTACCCTTGTGCCAAGGGTGGGCCGAAGTATACTTCCCACATCAAATTTTTTCCAAGTTTTCCCAGAGTTCCCAGACACATGCCATAAGTGGCCCAAATATCATTCTTTATCGGGGTAGCAGAGAGAATCCAACGAATTTACGGTCCATGGTTTTTTCTCCTAAGATGAGACATGGTGAGTGAGTTGAGGCGCTTCGCGTTGGCCTCACGTCACCCCACCATCTTACGAGAAAAAAAAACATGGACCGTAAATTTGTTGGATTCTCTTTCCTGCCTTAGCTGCTTTTCGTAATATCTGGGAGTATTTATCCACCGTAAAACAACCATCCCAAGATAACTATATATAATCAGACTTTTATTTCTTTAATTTTAATTTAATTTTAAAATTTGCGCCATTCTAAACTTGACTTTCTTTACTTTCACTTGCGGAACACTTCCATTGCCGACACACATTTCCAGCTTATAAAATAGATTTAATTTTTTATTTAATTTTCCAGAATTGGGAAATCTACCTAGGTGATCCAAAATACGATGGAAACGGTGATTTACAAGCCGCCATTCTGAGAAGTATAGCTTTTCCCTCGGAACGAATTGAGACCCTTGTAAAGTCGGAACTAACCAAATTTGAAATTCGCGGGCAACAAGCTATCCTTCGTGCTCTCATCAAATTCAACCCCTTCCCTCAACCCGTGGTCACAAATATTATAGAACTCATGACCCCCAAATCGGCTACAGACCCGGAGAATGCCCTCATTATTCCGGAATGTCTTTCCATCATAAAATCCTGGCTGGGGCATAAAGAAACTAAAGGCGATGTGAGTAAAGAACTTACAAGTCTATTTGACACAATACAAAAAAATGATTGGATTTTCGTCGAGTCCTTCGATAGAATTTTCGCAATTGCGGAAACAATCTTGGCAAAAGAAAATGAAAAAGACAACCAAATTAATCCCACGGATGGAGAAATCACACATTTTTCGTCTTACATAAAACAAGCCCTTGAATCAGAAAGTGACGAAAACCCGGCAACATATGCCACAAAATTACTCCTAAAGCTAACTACATCCATCGCAGAATCTGACCAGGAGCATATTAACGACTTAATAAAAAGAAGATCCCAAATTTCTGGAGATCCCAAAGTACAAGAAAACATTGTCCGACTCGTCACCCTGGAAAAATCTTGGGTCAAATTAACTCTACCCGAAATATCAAAACTCCTCCGCAATACCCCATACGACATAAAAATTGCGGGCATTCTTGTCCAACAATTTGCTGAAAAAGATGACGAAGACGTCGCACTTGACCTTGTCGAATATGTCGCAAAAGCACCAAAGCTTGAAGAAGACGTTCAAAAACTAATTGCACAAATTGTGTCCACCTCCACCAATACGATGGTACTAATGGATGTCATATCATTCCTTGAGAACACAATATCATCCCAATTCCCTGACATAAAACAAGAATGGATATCTCAACTGTTTGAAATTCTTAACAAAAAACAAGCCATCAAAGATGGTCGCGCAGAATTATTGGACGTCTTTCTTCCCCTCGTATTCAGCCTGGAATTATATTACGGGCTTGATCCCAAACTCTGGACGGATTGGACCGATTTACTAAACAAGCTTGGACTTTCCTTGAGCTCAAAAAGATACATGGAATGGATAACCACCGCTAACAAGGAAAGATTAGACGGTAAGGTGAAAGTTTCTTTGGATGATTACTCCACTTCAACGTCTTGGGTAGCCCAATGGGGAAAGGCAGATCGGGAAGGGCTCCTTCATATCGCATATCATCTCCCTTCCATAAAAACTATCCCGTTGGGAACCAAGCTTAAATTGTACTGCATGGCGGCAGACATGACAAATTTAACCTTTACCAAAGACGATAAAACAGCAGTGTCATCTACTGAAGAAACTCCGGAAGAATTTTACTTCCGAGCTTTCACCCAATTGGATGACACAGAATCAAAGGAAAATTGGAAACTAACCAATGAACAATTGAAGACCTTGAAGCAAAAATTGAAGGATGACAGTCTCACCGTTTTTACAGAGTTGGTCATATTATTGGGAAAATATTACGTCACGAATGCCAAATATGACGTTGCTACAGCGCTATTTGATTCAAATCTGGATCCCACCGAGGGGAAAAAATTGAAAGATCAAATCAACGTACTGACCGAGGTGGAAAAAGATTTGGCTAAATTGCCCAAAGAGGATGAAGACTTGCACAAGAAAATTATGGAAATCGATCCTAAAAATGGCGAGGCACTAATGAAGAAACTAATTAAGGAGTTGGGCCTCGACTATTTTAACGAGGGAAAATCTAGTTTGGCGAATCTACTCAAGTCAATCCCATCCAAGAATGTTGACGCAAAAATTCTTTCTTCCACATTGACTTGGGATTGGGGTAAGGAGTTACTTCATTCCTACATTGTCACAAATTTGTTGGAAAATAAGAACAATACTCAAGTTACCAAGGAAAATATTAAAATTGAGTTTGCCCAGTTGTGGAATGAATTTGTAACTAAACACGTACCCATCCGATACAATCCGACCAATATTAAAACCGATGTCGAATTTTTGGCAAAAATTAAGGAGAAAGTTGATAAAATTTTTGGGTCAGAGTTTCGCATTGAAAAAGTCAACCTGTTATTCATCCTCCTCCAAAATTTGGAAACTTATAATTTCTTCGAGAATGAGAAAGAAATCCCGTCCCTCGAAACGTTACAAGCTACATGGATTAAAAAACTGATCGGGAAGGAAGACCTGGACGAGAAGCTTGTCCAGGAATTTTGGAAGAAAACGGCTGAATTGAATTATCTGACCGGAGAAGTTCTTGGATTTAAAGCCATACAAAAATTAGTATCGTCCATTTCTTCTTCCGAATTTCAAAATGTTTCCGGTTTGCTCGATCTTCTTAAACAATTGGAATTTTCAAGCCAAAACTTCCTCATGGTTGTACCCAATTTTGAAAATCCGACCGAAAAACAAACCGTTGCCGATATTACACAAAGGGTTCAAGATTTCTATCTACAAATTGTCATTGGAAATTTCGCCGCAAATTTTTTCCACTTCAAAAAATCTACAGGGATTGATCAAATCTGTGTCAAGCTGGCCCATCTTTTGAACTCTGCGGAAAGAAAAGGCTGGGATTTTGCGACGATCAAACGATTTTTTGATCTCGTCAAGTCAAAGTTTGAAGCCAGCGATAAAGCGGATGATCAACAGGACCAGATTGCCTACGCTTTTTCCGGCGTTTTAAACCATTTTGGATCCTACGATTTTGAGATGGACGCCGTAAAGAAGACCCTTGAAAAAGTTGAGGGGAAAGATGAAGTCATAAAAAATTGGATATCTCACCTTCCCCCATTACCGCATGCCGACAACGCGAAAGAACGAGAGCTGGACGAATTGGTCAAACTTGTCACCACCGATAATGGAGATAAGGTGAATGCAGATGAAATTAAGAAATTAATTTCATCCCTGGATTCCCTCGAAATGAAATCGTGGGACAAGGAAAAAATCACGGAATGGGCTAAGAACCAGAAAACCAATGACAAGCCTAGTATCTCCGACACTATGTGCGTCATCTGCCGAACCGCAGAATTAATTCTGAGTAATAAACCCCGGACAGCTCAAATGGTCGCGCTCGCAGCATTAATACAGTCCGTCGAGAAGGGAAAAGATATCGGTCGTCTCGCCAAAATCGAGACGGGGGAAGGAAAATCGTTAATCATTGCTATGTTAGCATCGTACGTTTGTCTTAACAAGAAAGACATGAAAGTTGACGTTATCACGACATCGTCAACACTGGCGACTCGAGATGTGGATGATAATAAGGCGTTATTTGAAACCCTGGGACTATCCGTGGTCCTTCTGACACAACGCGGGACTGAGGAAACTTATAAAAACGATGTCGTCTATGGAGACACGACGTCCTTCCAGGCGGACGCTTTAAGGGAAATATTTCATTTTGAGAAAGTTCGTGGCGATAGAAAATTCAAATTTTGCATTGTAGACGAAGTCGATTCCATGCTGATTGATCAAGCTTCCTATGCTACAAAATTGGTGGATAAAGTGCCCGGCTTTGAGTTCATGGAGATTGTCTATACCGCAATTTGGAAGCATGTTAACGACATTGAGAATCTATTCTTACCCCTCGGTGCGAATCAGGAGGTGTACTGCGTCGATCAAACGGTTGGAATGGATCCGAAAGATATAATTTCCCTACTATCCAAGGTCAATTCAAAAGATGGCAAAGGCTCAAGAAAAATTTTATTGTCAAGAATACAAGGATTTTGTGAGAATAATTTAAATCGAGAAAAGGGCGACCAGAAAACGAGGGAGGATTTGAAGACGCTCATTGAAAATAAGAAATTACCCGGTTTGCCGGCAGGAAAATCTGAAATTTCAAATGAGGAATTGGACGAAATCATAAAACTAAGGTGGGACTATGAAAAAGGTGGCGCCGTCTTACGGCGGATTTGTGAAAAACTACTGGGACATAAAATCATCGTTATGACCGTTACCGACGATGGATTTAGTCCATATAGCGGATACCATGACACCCCTGGTAACGATGGCAACGATATTCCAGATTATTTTAGACCGATTTACCTTTTCTACTTCAGTCAACAATTAATGAGACTTATTCCGGTGGAAGCGAGTAGCTCTCAAATGAGGCAAAAAGTGGCGGCCAGGATTAAAGATCTTATCGTGGCTTCGACCGAGAAAAGTGTGGAGTCTGAGAAAAAATTGGTGATCCCGAATCATTTCATGGATTTTTTCAAGGGAAAGTTAATGACCTGGATACAGTCAGCAATTACAGCGCGCTATCATATGGATAAGGATCAAGCATATATTGTTAAAAAAGGGGAAAAAGATGGGGAAAGAAAATCGATTATTCCGGTGGATGTGGAGCACACGGGTGCGCTAGAGCAAGATTCCGTCTGGCCGGATGGACTACATCAATTTCTTCAACTGAAACACAAACTTGCTTTTACACCGGAGAGGATTTCGACAAATTTTATGTCCAACTTGACATTCTTTAACAAATACGAGGGGAACGTGTTGGGTGTGACGGGGACGTTGGGATCAATTACGGAAAGTGGGATGTTGGAAAAAGTTTATTCAGTGGACACCATACATCTCCCAACGTTCCAGGAAAAGAGACATATTATGTTACAGGTATTATGTTTTTTTAATTCAAATTTTACGAGGGCGTCCAAACTCGGAAAATTTTGAAAACCCGGTTATTCAATCATTCCGATTTTTAAAATTTTCCTAAAACCGGTTTTCGATTAATCGGACCTTGACAAATTTTACAAAACCGGTTTTCGATTAATCGGATTTTGGAAAATATTACGAAACCGGTTTTCGATTCTGTGCAAAACCTGTTTTAAACCGGTTTTTAAAATCGGTTTTAGTGCAAATATAATAGCCAAAAATTTCGAGTGTGTGAAAACCGGTTTCTTAGAAAGCCGATTTTTTGGAAAATTGTAAAACCGGTTTTCGGGTAATTCGAAAACCGGTTTCACAAAATCGCAAACAACCGATTTTGGATGCCCTAAAGTTTACCCCGATAAAAGGTTTTATTTATGAACCAACTCATGTTCAATTTCTATTTCTTCAGGACCTCGCATTCCAAACAGAATCCGATTATATGTCCGCCATTTTAACCTCCGTATACACCACAACCAAACAAGGCCGAGCCATACTTGTAATTTGCAAAACTATCGAAGATGTCACATCACTCGAGACATACTTAAACGAAGCCATCTCGGAAGTTGGCGAACCCCCAAACATTCAAAAATATTCCCGCCCCGATGTCGACAAAGAGAAACACGTTCCCCTAAGCGACCTTGTTCCAGGGAGCATCGTCCTTGCCACCAATCTCGCCGGGAGAGGGACTGATCTCAAAATTAATAAAGATGTCGACACCAACGGCGGCTTACACGTGTGCGTCACATTTCTACCAAGAAACCTCCGTGTCGAGGAGCAAGCTCGAGGACGCGCTTCCCGCAACGGAAAACGTGGCTCGAGTCAACTCATAATTTGGAATCAAGATTCCACCCGCCAAGATTGGAAGGCTTGGCAGGCCGTTACCGAACTGAAGAAAGTAACGGCACAAGTTGAAGAGGAAGAAATATCCAACGTAACAAATATCACCATTCCTAATATTAAAGTTCAGGACAAACTTTTCTCCGATTATTGCGAGAAGCGCCTTAAACTCTACAACGATAAAAAAGACGACGTAAACAGGGACCGTCTTCTAGAAGCCTTGGACGAACGATGGGGTTTCCTCTTGGACAATAATAACCTTAAAATCAATGCTTCCCCTTCTAAAAAAATTATTGACCCGAAAACAATCCCACTAGACAGCTTGGATAATGGGTCGGATGTTGACGCCATTAAGAATGCGCAGTATCACATGCTCATGGCAAATAATTACATGGAAAAAGAGAACTACGGTGACGCAATATCAAGATACGATCAGTCTGTCAAGCTAGACAAAAGTTTTTCTGGAACGGCCTTCTACTATCGTGCATACTCAAGGATTAACGAATTCAAGGACGACTACAAGAAAAAGGCTATTGCAGATTTGGACGATGCGTTCAACCTCATGCAAAATTTGTATCATCCTGCCCTCATGTCTTGCAATTCGTACACCATGAATGTAGCAGATGTTGATGCGGATGAGGATAAGAGGAAAGATGAAAATTCGGACGACACGGAGAAACCTAAGGACAAAGATTATACCATTCAAATTACAGGAAAATTGCATTTACTAAAGTTATGGGCGGAAACGATTGGAGCAGCGAAGGAACAATTGGGCACGGTTAGTAATTTGATACAAATTTTGATTACATGTGACCTACCTAAATATGTAGATAATTAAAAACATTATGTTGTTATATGATTTTGTTATTCTAGTCATCAGAAGTAAAAGCAAAACTTGTCTCAATTGAGGATCATGTGAAAGGATATGAGGACAAGGATAAAATTGCATCGTCTGAAATTCAAGACATGAAGGATGCCGGAATTGCTTATTTCCTTGAAATCGAGAAGCGTCCTGCCCCATGGTGGGCAATTTTTACAGTGATTGTGGTTGGTGTTGTGGAAGCTGTTGTCGGATTGGCAATTATGGCATTTTCAGGTATAGGGATTACTTTTTGCAATGAAATCGATACTTAAGGTTCCCATGGATAACGCGTTGGCGCATAATCTCACTGTGCCCCTATCCAATGTATTCAAATGCAATTTCTAAAATCCAATCCACTCCATGAGTTTTGAGATAAATGCAACTTTTGATATTTTAATCTAAACCTAATTTTTGGTACTACAAACAAGTCGATTTGAAAAAAATTAAAAAATTCGTTTGCTAATTTTTCACAATAAATTTCTTCGAAAATGAATTTTTTAATTGTTTCAAATCGACTTGTTTGCATTTAAATTAAATACGTGCGAAATTTAAGTATATAATGTCAAAAATATAGTCACCTTCCAGGATTCCAATTCCGATCTCCGATAAACAAACTTAGACTCCTCCATAACATAGTTCATAAAATATACCAACATCGTACTAACTAAATAATTCATTAATTTGCCCGTAATTTCAGGTGGAGCACTTGGCGAAGCCTTCCTAATCGATGGCGTTCTCGATATTGCAAACGGAATTGAAGCCGCCATTACTGGAGAGTACATCAGCCTATCAGAATTTTTCAAGCAGAAAGCAATCAACGCTGGCATCATGCTTGCAACGTTTGGATTTGGCGCAATAATGTCAAAAGTGGCGACGGTTCTCAAAGGAACTAAATTTATACAATTCCTCTCCCGAGGAAAAGATCTCTTTGCTTCCGCAGGAAAATTTATTTCCAACAGTTGGGTCGGCCGTGTTGGTCAAGCCCTAAAAAAGACCGTTGTCAAAATTCAGAGCTTCGTGTTCACGAAGACCAAATTATTTTGGAAGGCTATGAAAACAGCTGGGCAATTTGTCTGGAATGCGACAAAAGCTGCTGGTAGAAGAATTAAGGGGGCTTGGGAATCCATCACCAAATACTGGAAAGAAGCCGAAGAAGCCATCGAGGAAGGCGAAGAGACTTTGACGCGAAGTGTTAGTGAAGCAGAAAGTGAAGTGGCAGAAACCGAAAGTGCCACGTCCACAAGCCTAACCGGAGAAAATCTGCGTGGCACTCAATTCAAAAATTTGGGAAAAATTGTTGGCAAAGAAATGGGTCGTCGAGCACTACTCAAGGGGTTAGACTTCGCCCTACAAAAAGGGTTGGAACCAGTTATAACTAAATGGATTAAGGAAGCCATTCACAAGAAAGTCCAGGAAAAGGTGAATGAAAGAATGAAATCTGACTCAGTGTTGAAACCATTAACAAAATTTGTTCAAGAAGCTGAAACTGTGACGAATTATACCGCCAAGAAGAATGAATTTAACGCGATGTGGACTCAGATTGTTGATGATACCTTGCAAATTGACAACGCCGGTATTCAAGCCTTTCTACAAGTAGTGGACGAGTTTTGTGACGAAGCACAAAGAACACTTGTCGAAAAGAGAGAACAAGAGGGAGCAAGAGCCACGTTAGCGTGGGTAATAGAAAAATTCGGCATCGTTGTTTTCGAAATCACGTCATTTTCTGTTATGATTGAGGAACTTGTTACAACAATGGGTACCCTGTTCGACAAATTTGTTAGCGAATTAAAGTCGAAAACTGGAGACGGTCAACCCGACGAAATTCCCAAGGAGTCCTACATCTATGCTAAGGAAGGGAAGGATGCGTTTGATAAGGATAAAACTGAGTTATCTCAAAAAATCGCGAATGAAATTACGTCACAACTAGTCGCAATTATTGTGCAAGGATTGTTTAGACCGCACGCGGAAAAAGTGTTGAATTCAATGACCAAGAAGATGAAACTATTCAAGACGGAGCATTTAATTGAAGAGCTTGGAAAAATGCAGGAGGCAAACGGACACCCAGAACGATTTCCAAATGCCAATATCTGGGACATGTATAAAAGTAAGTCTGAATAAAATAATTATCAAAATCTATGTATCTACACCCTAATCGTGACAAATTTTCACCGCATGGTTCGAAATAAACTAATATGGAACATGAGGTAATTTTACATTGGAAGGTTAGGAGCGAGCGGTGACACAAATTAATTAGTTCATTATCTAATTAATTGTAATTACATAATTATTACTCAATTCTGCTATTCATAGCTGGATTTTTACAATGTTTGGATTTCAGTTGACTTAATTTGCTTGAGTAATTACTAATTAAGGTTTCATTTTTTTTAGAAAATACCCATGTCAAGGACGAGATTCATGAAGAAACATCTGCATACGCTGCACGTAAAGCAGAAGAAGCTCGATTGTTAGCGCCAGTCGCGGATAATTTGTCAGCTGAAATTGTGGTCAGTAGGACGGACAGTATTGGATCAGATAGTCCAAATGAGACTACACCTCTGGTGTTAGAATCGTCCGTTGGCGAGGGTCCTCAAATACATATCGCGTACAATTCACGACTGGATGAATATTATCCTGTCATCCGACAATTGGACGGAACATATCGTGCTGTACCATTTGATGCTCAAGGGGCCACTCAAAGGGACTGGCAAGGTGACACGCATGGGAATGGCCTTATACCTTCAATTGTTGTCGGCGACAAGGGAAGGTTTGAAGGGAAACTTAACAATATTAATATGCTGTTGAAAAGATTGCATTTGAACGGAAGTCAGGCGTAACTGGATTCTACTATAAGAATAACAAATTCAAATTGACATGAAAAAAAAATTGTGCACTTATAGATATGAAACTCTGCGACCCTACTCGAAAAACCTGTAACAATGAGAGTGGTGGCTATATTATATTTAAAAGGTCAGCCTATCGATTGACTGTTAAAAATTACATTTTAAATAAGTACTCGTTTCGAATTAGTAGTAAGATTCAAGATTGTGTGACAAGTTATGCGTATATTAAGAAAGTGTATTAAAATTAGAGTCACAGTTGTAAGCACTTCTTAAGGGAAATATGGGGTGACTAGGAACACTAGGTATGTGTGATCCGGTCCTAGCAATGCCATTGTATGCATTCGATGCATTTTTCAATTTTAGTCCGACGATGTAGGAAAATTTCCGTGCAAAAATGACATTTGGTTACGCCGTGACCATTTAGGTGACAAGCGGAGGGCAGCTCTTTTCCTGGCGGTGCGGTGGGGTGTGGTTGACGATGCGCTCACTCATTGACTAATTCCATGCCTTTACAAACTAGACCAAAATATCGTGAACTTTTTTTAATTCTCAACTTTTTTTCCCAAATTTCGAAAATTTTAAATTTTTGATGAAAACTGAAATTCTTTAAACAAATGTGAAACTTTTGTAAAAAATGAAATTTAAGAAAAAATTGAAAAATATGAAATGTTTGAAAAAATGAGAACATTTTGAAAAAAAATTGAAATTTGAGAAAAAAATTGAAACATTCAACCCCACCGCCCCGCCAGCAGGAAAAGCTCTCCGCTTGTCACCGAAATGGTCACAGTGTGAGTCGTGTGACCAAATATCATTTTTACACAGAAATTTTGTAACACCGTCGGACTATGTACCGTTGAAAAATACATCGAATGCATATAGTGGCAGTGCTAGGTCAGGGTCACACATACCTAGTGTTCCTAGTGAGTACAATACACTAATCATAATTTGGAGTGCCTAATGAATGTGAGGGAATTTTATATGCATAAATTTTACTTAATTAATGGTTGAGTAATAAAAGTACTATTGTACACAATTATTGAGATTACGTACATATTAGTAAATATTATTTATTACGCTTCACATAATAATTGCTGGAAGTTACATATGTTTTCCAGCGCTTCAATAATTTACTTAAAAAGTATTATAAACCAGCATTAGTCAACCATCTTAAATCCATCCAAGTCTAAAGAATCCATTAGCATTTTCAGTTCCATTAATTCAAGCGAATTGTCCCTAACACCAGGTTGCGTATTCCAACTAAATATGGGTGCTTCCGCCTTTCTAATTTCAAGCTGGACTCCAGGAATTGGTGACTTAAAAAAGATAAGTCAATGGCATTTTCAATACATAATGAGTTTCTTACTAGTTTACAAAGAAAAATGTCTATACTCCTGAAAATATTTAAATTGCCAAGGTATAAGGAGAAATACGGCGTATTTTTGAAGCCATTCAACACGTGTTGATATTTTCCTGGCTTGCTAATGTATTTATTGCAACGGTGTGGTTGAAGTCAACCGGTTTGAGCGACATGTACTCGCGAAGCATTTGCAATTTAGATAAATTTTAATGCAACATGTTTTAAATTTTAGTCTAATTGTGACGCTTGCCTAACAGTAAATAAATAGAAGAGAGTGGAACAAGCATGTAAACCAGGGAAACCTGTTGAACTTGCAAGTTAACTTATTCGCAATACGATAGTGAAAAGTGCAACACTCGGATTCTGTTGAAATTTTGGAATTATGCAGTTCAAGTCAGTAAAACCAGCGTTGTGGGATGATTAGAATTGTTTAGCACTTTTAAGCTCAAAGTTTAAAAAGTTTCGATTTTTATGAATGAAAGTGGAGTTTGTCGAATAAAAATCGCCCAATTTTCAACTTTGACATCAATAATTTTGATAAATTCTAAGCCTTAAGGCTTAGAATGCAAGTTAATGAATGAATGAAGTTAATGCAATTGCATTAACTGCCTCAAAAAAAGTTGGTTGTATTGACTCGAACTTCATAATTCCAAAATTTCAAAAAAATCCGAGCGTTGCACTTTACACCATCATATTGTTAGTAGTGATATTTATTAGTGTGTGGACTAGATAGAAAGAAACTTGTTATTTATTTGGGACAGAGGACTATGAAAGATGCGAAATAGAATTATCAGAGTTGTTTGGTGTTGATTCGTGACTTGGTTCTACACAAGTTCCATAGAAAAACTCTGGGAAATGCTTGTGCACAAGTTCCTACAGATTTTGGTAATAGATATTTAAGAAATTGAGGGTACTCATTATTTCCTCGTATCCTTACTTCCAATGCAGTGGGCTAAGGGGTTTATTGCCGATTTTGACGAATTTGAATGATTTTTTTCTTGATTTTTTCGTAAACTATCTTACGATACTTGAGACACGAAGAAATAATGAATACCCGCATTGTATAATTATTTTGCAAACTTTTACAAAATAAAAAAGCTCCCTTGTTCCTACTAAGTTTAGAAAAAAGGACTTGTAGCGTTTAGATATTTAACCGATATACAATGAGGGTTTTCACGTCACCTTGGCACCCAACCGTTGAAAATTTACGAAAACTTCACGGCTACAAATCTTCTCAAATAAATACCAGATTGATGGTATTTTTCAATCTGCAGAATTCGATAAAGTGATTTCTACTCGGGATGGCTTTTACGTCGGCTTTAGAGGCGTATTATGGGAAATGTTCCATTCTACGCTGCATCGATTTCTTGGAATTAAATATAAAAACTTGCAAGTAGAGTTCCGGGTGCAACCGTCAATTCAGCATAGCTATTTTTGAATTATATTCAACCACCCCCCTTTTAAAAATTGAGAATAGAAACTGTAAAAAATGAGAAATCCAATGCACACTCGGTACAACAAGAATTAGACCCCAACTTGCATTTGCAATTCTAATTTGCCCATGAATGCGGACATTTTGATGCATCAAAAGTTTCAAAATTCGAAAATTGGCGGTTTTTTGACTTACACATAAATCGTTAAAAAAGTCATGGTCCTACCCATTTCGAGTCTGACAACCTGATGCCAGAATTTTCTCCATTTGAAGAGCTAACTTTTCAGCTTTTGTTGCCCGACTGGAAATGCGTCGGACCATGAGATTTTTGGGGTCAAAGTTTCTGTGGGGGCCATCTTATATCGCAAGAGCCATAACAAACTCTGGCCACTAATGAGAGCAGAGAGAGAGAAACAGAGTGAGAAAATGGATCGCGCATACGACCCTAACGCACGATGGTGGTGGATACCCACCGCCAACCACTTTTCTCACTTTGTCTCACCTTCTCCTGCGAAATATGGGAAATGATTTTGTTGAACATTTCGCCTGGTTTTTATCTTTAGACAAATTTACAAATAGCTTTTTTAAAATGCACAGATATGGATGTCGTGAAAACCCTCAATGTTACCAGGCATTACGTCATTCTTTCGCTGAACTATAGACGAGACATAAAAGGAAATCCTCCGACTTAAAAGGAAATCCTCCGACTTAAAAGGAAATCCCGGCAACAGAATAACTATCCCTTCATTATTTATGGTGGTTGGTACGTACTTATGCTATTTTTTTTTTACTTGTAATGTACATGGCAGACAGGCTTCTTACCACTAAAAAATCGTGCGAGTGAAAGCCAACAACTGGGGGCTGTAGCACCTGTGAACAAATTACGGCTTTACGATAATCTTACATAATAAAAAAACGTATTTTTACAATGCGTATGGCGAAAATACGCTTTATTTACCAGCTGAAACTTTTGAAACGCCGTGGATTCTGCTGAAGTGTTCAAATACCAAACGAACTGTTGTTTGTGTTAATTTGCTGGATTTTTTAGTCCTGGTTCTGTCTGTCGAGATCCGTGTGATTAACCTGTAGATTGATATGCCTGTTGGAAAAAATTGTCCTCAGTTAAAAGTGAGTCATCCCGATTTCTGACTGGAGGTTTTCATTCATATTCAGTAATTTCATTTCACTTCAGCAGGCTTCATTTCTTACTTCGAAAATGAAAGGCATGATAATCCTTTCATTCATCTGAAACGACGGAATCCTTGCGTAATTTTCATTAAATTGAAATGAGATTCACACCCATTCACTATTAATCGGCCAAACGAATGAAAGTGAACAGGTATGGGGGATTGTAAGAATGCCAATGAATTTAAAGAGAGTTTAACCATGTTTCAGCTCTCCGAGTGGGTGGTACAGTGGACTACGACAAACGCAACAGCAAGTTGTTGACCTTGGAACTATTGACCTTGCAAATTATCAGGGTGGAGGACCGTGCAGTCGCCCGGGGTCATGCGGCCAAGGACTTCCACCGAACTACGGGGGACAAATGCGCCCTGGGGGAAACGGCGGAGGACTTGCACCTCAGTACGGGGGTTAAGGATCATACGGGGGGCAAATTGGGCCTCACGGGCACCAGAATTTTCCCACCGGGCAGAACTCCTAGCAGGCAGTACAACAAGTTCTCCAACAGCTTCAGGCACAAGGCGTCGCAGCCCAAGATATTCAAATTCATCAATCTGGCTAAATACCTGGGAATATAGAGAATCAAAAATGTCAAAAGGTCAAATTGTGTATAAAAATGACCTTTCTCTACACTGTAAAAAATAATGGTATCCTTTTGCAGAGTAAATCCACACTTAATTTTATATTTTATAAATAAATCATTCTAAATCCACATCCTGGGTAAACTTGATAAAGAGAGGACAGATTTATTACAAATCACAGAATGTAGTACCCGATGACTCATTACTTATCGTGAAACGCAAAATGATTTTCATCGTTTAGTGTTCACATGAGAGTGAGACACATGTTTTTAACTACGAGTTATTTATTAGTGAGCCTTACACACGATTACTTAACTATTGCTCGTATAAACGTTTTTGTTTTAAATTGTAACCAGTCTGGTAATATTTAATTGTATTCCGGTATATTTGAATATTTAATTCTAATTAATAAGTAATAAGTACATAAGTTCTAAATAAGTGGCTCGTTTCTCGGATAAACTTCATGGTGCATAAATTTATTACTAGCGTGAGCATATTATTTCCTTGTTATCAGTTCGACCTACTTATAAATAGTTGACGGGGCCAACTGCTATCACTCAGCAAGGGATATCAGTTGGTCATAATTCCGCAAGAAATAGACGAGCACCACATTTTGACCGACGGAAGGGCTGTGTATGAATGTTGTGGTTGTGCAAAGCGAATTAATTAGTTTATGATTTAAAATAACCTCACTGGGTAGGAGAAGTACGTAATGTGTGGGGTTGTGGTAGTGATTGAGGTTTATTGAATTTTAAACAGTTATAAATTTTGTACAAAAATTATTATTTTTGCGTCGGATTTCCATGAAAATGATATTTTAGACTAATTAAACTATGCTGAACAAGAATATCTATATTATAAGCTGGAAATGTTTGTCTGCAACGGAAGTGAAAGCAAATGTTCCGCAACGGAAGTGAAAGTAGGGAAAGTCAAGTTTCGAATGGCGCGAAAATTCAAAAATCTTAAGTTTAAAAATAAATGTGAAAAGGTGGGGGCTATCGAATCGTTATGGTCGGTGGTGGTTATCAGAATGTTGGGGCCTGATGGTGGTTTAACCACCGTGGTTGTATGTTTCCTTATGATATGAGGTTATCGGGGCTTCGCTGCCTGATGGTGGTTATCAGAACTTTGTTGCCTTATAGTGGTTATCGGGGTGTGGCGGCCTGATGGTTGTTATCCGGGTGTGGCGGCCTGATGGTGGTTATCGGAGTGTGGCTGCTGCATGGTGGTTATCGGAGTGTGGCGGCCTGGTACCGGTTATGTTGGGAGTAATTATCTGATTTTGGTAATCTTGGGGGCTTTCTGATGATGGTTATCTGGTGGTGGTTATCATGGTGTGGCTGCCTCACGGTGGTTATCTGTGACTGGTTATTTGATGGATTCTCGTTTGGGTGTCGTTGCCAATGCAGATCATTGCCAATGGCGGACTAGGCTGGTAAAGATGGCAGAGCCAAGTGGGTGCCAGAGAAACTGCCAGTGGCAATGGCAGT